ATACTGAGCATCTTTCTCTTTGACACCATGTCTGATATCCCACGTGATCTGTCAAATACTAATGCATGAAAATCCTAACCTCAAAAAAATCACCCGATACTTACGCAAATGAGATAAAAAATTTAAATATTGTAAATGACTTATTGATCTTAAAACAAGTTAAATTTTATATTGATTGGTCATACAAATATTTTATTTTCTATTAAAGCTAACAAACTACATTTATGCCATTTTAAAGTAATGTTATTTTATGTGAAAAGGAAGAAAGTAACGGTAATACCAACATTTTTTTATTTTACGGAAGTTGGATGTTGTCGCATAGTTATAGTATTCTTGATATAGATTTGAATAGAATCTGCATGAATGTTCCCTCAAGTGATTCTAATTTCTTCACAATACCATAAGTTCGAAAGCATTAACATTGAAATTCGTTAAATTAATTTATAAAGAACCATAATAAGTACAATGATAACTTCTGTGTTAAGTTTTTAGTTTTCTAGCTCCGGGTATCACGAGCCTTTAACGGTAAAATAGTTTTGAGGTAAATATCTCAAAAATCATTATAACTTAATTTGCTCAGAACAAAACTTTGACAGTGTTAAAATGTATGTAATCTCATTATAACCACACCCTTTATATAGGTTTATTAAAATCAATTTAAAGTGCGATAACTTACTAAATAAAAACGTCAGAAGCATTTCTAAAATAGGATGAAAGGGATGGACGAAATCGCAATACAACTACGTCTACTTTCCATAAACAAAATTTTATATTTTATAGTATTTATTTAATTCCTCATCATAATAGTACACAATATCGAGTATTTACTCTTTTTTAACAGTATACAAATCGAACACCTGGGAAGTTATCGGAAGGAAACTTTGCGCAAATAGTGTGCAAATTTGTGTTCTTGCGAGTAAAGTGAGTAAAAATCAATCACAGATCAATCTGTGAGTTATCTTATTAATGTAATGATATGACATAATTATTTTGATATTGTTACGTCATTATATCAAAATTGGATAAAATCGGGTAATACTACTTGTAGCCTATTTACCCAATATCAAACTTCCCGTTGGATCTGTACTGTATATAACGGTTAACATGTAAGATACCTTAAGAAAATTTACTGTTTAATTTTATCCCATATATTACACACAACTTTTTTTTATTGCATCAGATTTTTGGTTAATGTCGGTATCTAATAAATTTAAGTTTTGTCAAAAGTTAATGCAATCCTAGTTCATATATAGGGGATTTAGGAATTTCCATCCATTTTGTTTTTCATCGGACTTTAAAGCGTTTATGTCGGTCAATATATCCCACATTTTATTGACATTAAGGGGGGAAATTTTTTTCTTAGTTCCCAAATAGCACAATTTTAAAATCCATTTGATTCTTTCACTTTCTAGTACACAAATTATGAAGTAATTCATATTATGGAGTAAAACCGTACCAAGGGAAGGGCGTTAGATTTCGAGGTTGACATTGTTGTTGATATTAATACTGGTTCCCAGATAGACGAAATTATCTACGATTTCGAAGTTGTGAATGTCAACAGTGACCTGGGAGCCAATTCCCTACGACTGTTTGTTCAATGGCAGGACCGGAAGTCGTGAACTGCTTGAACCATAAGTGAAAGAATCGTTGCTCGTCACTCCCAAGTGAATGGCGTTCAGATTACTTTATTCGCTTGCGTGAACTTCTACATTCCTCCATCTTCAAGCCTCAAGGTACCGAATAAGTAGACCCCAGTATCTATAGTTAATTTTTCACCGAAAATATGAGTCAATGTATGGGACATACAATTGAAATTTAGAGAGAATCCTTTCTTGTCGATAGTAACTTTTTTTCATGAATTGTACTGTATATATTGGCCAATATTTAAGTTATCTCAATGAATATAACAGAACTTGTTTTTGCATAACAGTGTATCTTTGTGCCTAGAATAGATAAAACTGGGCGAAAATTTGACCTAGCCCCATATAACTAATATCAGCATTTTCGAACATCCGGCACGGTAATGATTTTCATGTCGGTCAGAGTTATATATAGTATATGCATATATATAATTGTTCGGATTCCGATCCTCTATTGGACATTTTACCTCTTATTTCCCTGGCTTTGATTCTTGCAAGTTATTTATAATGTTTTGCAGCACCTGAAAATATTTCCCGTTTTTGTGAATAATTACATTACTTACTTATAAAGTAAGTCGTGTTATAACCTCAATAGATATAATTTTGTTTTTGACGAAGCCAAAAACTGGCCTCATCTTAGGAGATCATGCTTTGCGCGATAATCTTGAACAATTTTCAAGCATTATACTAAATTAAAAAACGTGGCATGATGAACTAGCAAACCATACCTCCCACACTGACAAAATCAATCAAATTTATCAAAATATGTCATTTTTATTGGTTATAATAGATACGTTTTCAAAACTCACAGTTTCTGATCCAGACGCAGTTACTAATTCTTGCAATGCTCGAACTGAGAGTGCCTGCTCAATTACGAAAACGCATTGGGATAGATCTGGCGGAATATTTTTATCCGCTATATTTTCCAAAAAACAATGACGATTACCAAATCCTTCGGCTGCTAAACAGACGCGTTCACCAGTTGCGGTACATGAGAGACAAACCATATCTTCCTGAAAATGATACGTGTTTATTAATACAATTATTAATAAATTATAAAAGAAAATAATTGCAAACATTAAGTTAATTATAAGTTATCTGAACCTCCCATTGTATAATAGAAATGAATTGTATGTATCTGAAGTACCCGGTGACCTGTCAAAAAAGAGCCGGTAACCATTTTGTCAATGAAACATCCGACTTTCATTTTTCGCAAGTCAGAAAAACCAAAACGTGTTCTTATTAAATCTCAGGTGTGGGGTTGTATCCACAGCCATCCAAAGAAATACTTAAAGAAGATGAGATCAAGTAAGAGCAACAACGCCGTAAATAAGAATATTACTGCCCGAATCGGTGCTCCCGACGCTACCGCTGCCCTAACTGCTGCCACCACTGCTACTCAAATTGGTGCTACCGAAGCCACCGCCGCCATAACCGCTGTCACCACCGCTGCTCAAACTAGCGCTCCTAACGCCACCACGAATACCACCAGGCCCGATATTTGTCCTGCTCCTGCGTCAGCTGCATCAGAAATCGAACCACTATATGAAAGTGTCACATTATTAGGCCTAGAAGCAGAGCGACTAGAAGAACAACTCCGAATCCTAAAACTACGTCGCGAAATAGCTGAACTTGGGAACCAACATTATCACGAACCATCGAAAAATTATATGAATACCGATGAGCTCGAAGTTGTTGTGCCTAAATTCAGTGGACGTCAATAAGTGGCTCGTACAGTTCGAGGATTATATCGAAGCGAAAAATCTCGGTGAGAGACAGAAGTGCCTGGCCTTACGGCGGTGTATGACTGGAACAGCTAAAGAGTGTACCCTTAATCACGGCCTCGCCGATTATGACAGTTTAAGATCTTTGCTACAAACTATGTTCCAGCGCACCGCCACCAGGMAAGAAATTTACAGACAGTTGCGTGCCCGGCGATTGAAACCGTCCGAAACATGTATCGCTTATGTGGTGACCATGCAGTCCATCGCTTCCAGAATAAGCATAGAAGAAGAAGAACTCGTGGACGTTATCATCGACGGTATTCCCGACAGCAGCAGCAACATTTCTATCCTATATGGTGCTAACTCCATTAAGGAGCTGGTGAGACGCATGGATCGCTACGAGCAGCGGCGAGCAACGCATCCATTACTTAGGTCCCCCGCCCAATTTGCCATGCGTGCCGGGGCCCCGAAGTCTACTGCTCCTACCGCCGAAGAATCAACGCGCTGCTATATTGCTCCCAATTTGGACACTACCAGAGCAGCTGCCCAAAACCAACTAGACCGCCAGCATCATGCTTTACATGCTGACATTAAATGGGGCACCAACATAGCAACTGCCCTAGCAAGAAAAATCGACCAGTTCAAGTAGCCGCTGTGCTGGAAGGAGATGCTGATGATGATGGCCATGTAAAGTTTAAACAATGGGTTTTAGAGAAATGTTTTCTCTTCTTGATTCCGGCAGTCCCATTAGTTTAATGCAACGGTCAAGCGCCCCGCAATGCGCTCAATTATCAATCAATCAATATCTTAAAAATTTCATTGGTGTTGGCCGGCATCGAATATATTCGTTTAGTACAGTGTTGTGTGCAGTAAAATTTAGAGGCAAAATTCGGTACTTACAAATAATGGTGGTTACCAATACGATAACAACATCTCTAATACTCGGTCAAGATTTTCTTAAAATATTCAATATACGTTTCAAACAATTTAATATGAAAAAAAGGAATATATTCCAAACTAATTTGTTATCTAAAACTGAATTAAACAAAGTTGATTTTCTTTCTGATATAAAACACTGTGCTTCTGATTCGATATTAGTTGAGTTGCCTGACGGTGACCGTTGGTGATATTTGTGTAATCGGAAGGGCGGCCGGGGTAGGGTTGGTGAGGAAAGTGTCAACATGTCGAACGCATGCGATGATAACATTTTGAACTTTGGTGTTTGCAACAGTGAATACACCGATGAATATGTCAATGTAGTAAGGGAATTAAATGCGATTGATGTTGGAATCGAACCGGAGGTAGACTTAGGACCCAAGTTAGATAACGTTAAAAGGGACGCAATTACAGCTGTCTTACTTAGCTCTTATATRAAACCTGCAGACATAAATAAGGAACTTAATAAAAAAACAATCCCATATAACTTTCCATTGCCTTTGATAGAAGATTGTATAGAGTACATGTCGGGTAAGAGGTGGTTCACTTTGTTAGACCTARAGGACGGGTTCAACCAATTGACCATGGACGTGAATTTAATTCCATTAACGTCATTTGTCACACCACAAGGACAATTTGAATACCTTCGAATGCCGTTCGGATTAAAGRACGCACCAGCAAATTTCCAGAGATTTGTTTACAATATCTTCCGCGATTTAATAGATGCAAGAGAAATTGTCGTGTATATTGACGATATCCTTATCGCATCTGCCGATTTCGAAAGTCACCTCGTACCGTCGAGAAAGTCTTGAAAAGAATTTATACAAGAGGATTAGAACTTAAACTGAAAAAGTGTAAGTTTGGATACAATGAAATAGAATACTTAGGATACCTCGTTAGTCCATTGGGAATACAACCATCTGATGTTCATGTCCGTGCTATCTCTAATTACCTAATCCCGCAGAACCACAAGGACTTCGCTCGTGCCTTGGACTATTTTCATATTTTCGGTATTTGTACCGTTAAAGCCGGCTAAACCACTTTTAGATCTCTTACGTAAAGAAGCAATATTCAACTTTTCAGAATCGTGTCTAGAAGCTTTTATCGCAGTTAGTAAAAGCCCAAGTGCTAGCAATATATGACCATACGCGGGAAACAGAACTTCATTGTGACGCCAGCCGTCATGGGATCGGGTCTGTCCTACTCCAGAGACAGGATGATAAGAAGCTACATCCCATTGCATACTTTTCAAAAACTAGTACGGGGACAGAGTCAAGATACCATAGCTTCGAGTTGGAAACGCTTTTCATTATCTATGCTCTCAGGAGATTTAGGATTTACTTAGACGGGAGACTGTTCACCATTGTTACAGACTGCATTCCCTTACAATGGCGCGAGCGGAAGCTTAGGAGTAGTTGCGAACTAGTTGCAGCCATCGACCATGACGATTTGGATTTTCAAATCYAAGTTGCCCAGAGTAGGGACGCGAGACCCAAAGAGCTTTTGAACAAATAGAAAAGGGTGAAGTGGTTGGTTACGAACTGATAGACGGGCTGGTTTTCCGCCGCCTAGGTAACGACTCTTCATTATGCGTGCCCGCCGAAATGCAAGACAACGTTATTCGTATGGTGCACGAAAAGATCGGACATTTGGGTGTGGACAAATGTTATAGTCAAATACGTAAACACTATTGGTTTGAACATAYGCGAGATAAAATTGAACGATTTACCCGTAATTGCATCAAGTGCATACTATATTCAGCCCCGGCGCATTCAAATGAACATAACCTGTTGAGCATTCCAAAGAAGCCAATCCTCTTCGATACCCTTCACCTCGACCACTTTGGCCTGCTGCCAGCTATTAGATCGAAGCGCAAACACATATTGGTAACCATTGATGCCTTCACCAAATTCGTAAAACTATACCCAGTCAATTCGACAAGTACGAAAGAGGTTTGCTGTGCCCTAGAAAAATATTTCAGTTACTATAGTCGTCCAAGACGAATTATTACAGATAGAGGGTCGTGTTTTACTTCACTTGATTTCAGTAAATTCCTTTTTAAAAGATACATAAACCATGTAAAAGTCGCAGTAGCATCTCCACAAGTCAATGGTCAAGTAGAACGGGTTAACCGTGTTGTGAAAGCCATGTTAAGTAAATTAACCGACTCGACAGAACACTCTGATTGGCCACTACAACTCTCCCAAGTAGAATACACCATAAACAATACGGTTCATACTACAACTAAATACACACCTGAGTTACTTTTTGGCGTGACCCAGCGGGGCTGCATAGTAGATGGTTTGACTGAATTCTTAGAAGATAAGATACTACAGGATACCCTTAGGGATTTAGAGAAAATACGAGAGAAAAAATAGAAAAGTCCCAAGAATACAGTTTGCAATATTTCTTTAGAAACAGTATGACTGCAAAGAAATATTCAGTCGGGGAATTCGTAGTAACTAGACATGTTGATACTTCGGTCGAGAAAAATAAGAAACTTATCCAGATATACCGCGGCCCCTATGTGATACATAAAGTGTTGCCTAATGATCGGTACGTAATAAGAGACGTTGATAATTGTCAGCTAACTCAACTGCCCTATGACGGAGTGATTGAGGCTATTAAAATTCGGAAATGGCTGTCACCAATTTGTACTGACAACGAATCCCCTCAGTCATTGTCATGTATAGGCCACACTGCTTCTTGTCATTTTGTCCAATTTGTTAATTAAACATCCGACATTCATTTTTCGCAAGTCAGAAAAGCCAAAACGTGTTCTTATTAAATAATAAATAATTATAAAATTAATACTTAAATAAAATAAAAACTTATCAGATAAAATGAACGCTCAAATGTAATATTTGCACTAAATTTTATTGAAGGCGTGATGCTACTTCCCTTAGGGGTACATTGAGTAGATGTTTTCCACATGTCAGAATAAGTTCTCATAAACTGTCTTCTACTTTGTTGGGACAGTTCAATTTGTACTCAACATCTTGCACCGAAAGATTTTCCAATGACAAAGAAGAATTCTGTATAATCGTTTTTCTTTATTATTGGCTATGACGAAATTCTTGCCGTTTTCCCTCTGAATGATAGAAAGGAAGAAATTGATGTTGTCATTTAATCATGATGAAGTGAGGCGATCGTTGTATTTGCTACTCTTGTTCGTTTTCGTGTAGGGATATTCTACGCAGTCCTTCTCCTCGCTGTTTGCGAAGTTTTCTGCTAATCAATGTGTCTCCAAATAATTAAACTCAGAGCGTGGTTGAATCCCAGTTGTATCATCAAACCTCAACTTTTTTCTTATAAAATTTTGGGGAAACATCTTTTTTATGTAAGCAACGACG